GGCCGCCGGTCTCCGGGGCGGGTGCCTCGACCCCGGCCGCCCAAGAAGTCATCGTCTTTGAATCCTGAAGAGAGGAGACAGTCCATTTAAAGAGCACATTCTGTGGTGCTTTTAGTCTAGAGTTTTATCTGGAGGACTGGAAACCTTGCAAGTCACTGCTGTCAGTCCGAGGTGAGGCACTGAGAGAGAGCCTTTGTCCACAGGCAGATTGTTCACAGGTCTCTAACACAGGTCCCATCTGAAACCAAGCAGACTGTGCCCAGTTCAGGAACTGCCTTATCCACCTAGAGACTTATTGGAGTCTTGGAGAGTGGCTCATCAGTGAGCTTAAAATACAAGCTGCAGCTGCAACTTCAGATTGCTGAGATCATTAGCTGAATTCAGGGACAATGCTAGGAGTACTCAGAGTGTTTCTGTAGCAGATGATCACACTGGCTACAGCCTGAGCATGAAATCTGCAGGAGCAGAGCAAATGGGAACATAGCTATGGAGTAGTGAAACAAACACTCCTTGTAAAACAGAGCCTTTGAAAACCAGAGCAAAACCCCAAGGCTTTTTAGCTGTATTATAAACTGACCAGGAATTTACTTCACTTATCAGAGCTGTGGAAGAGATTCAGACTTTCAGTATGAAACCGACTGCATTTCTTCAGTTTATGCACCAAAGAAATCCAGAACTGTCCCTGAGCAGAGTTCTAGTCTCTACCAATTACTGTCCCACAGTATCTCTCCAAGTCCCCATCACCCACTCAAGGGGAGGAGGATTCTCCAGGCTAACAGCAAACCTAAGGGGAATATACTCAGTTTTTCAGAAGCCACCTGGAAGAGAAAGTTGGTTTGTTCCACCTGAGATTTTCCTCTCCACTTCAGCAGTAGGCAAACCTAAGGGGAATATACTCAGTTTTTCAGAAGCCACCTGGAAGAGAAAGTTGGTTTGTTCCATCTGAGATTTTCCTCTCCAGCAGTAGGCAGAGTTGCAGAACTGTCCCTTACTTCAGTGCCAAACAACCACCTTTAAAAACTTGATCCAGAGCAAGGCTGTACAACCTGAGAAGAAAAGCTTCTGCAGCAACCAAGACTTAAATGCTGAACTTTGGGCTCAGAAATCACTCGCCCAGGGTATCCAACAAGCTGAAACACACCCACGCCTGCAGAAGCTGCTGAGGAGGGTACAGAGCTGTGACACCAGAACACTTAGCTACGAAGCAGTTAAGCACAGAGCTGCAGCAAGCTTCCTCTCCAGCACCATGCTTTGGTTTCATGCTGGTGGCAAGGGCACACTTTGGTCCCACTCCTCCTCCGTCCATTCCGCTCACGCAGAGACCAGACATTGCAAAGTTGCACTTGCCAGCATCTCCCCATCAGAAAATGGACCAAACCCATGATTTCAGAGGACAAAAGCAATTGTGTTAATGTCATCCAGGTTTCTAATGGCTAGAACTCACTGGAAGTCAAGAGCAAACCCAGTGGCTCCATCACTACCTTCCACTCAGCAAGCTCAGTCATCTCCTGCAACTTGAGTTACTGTAACAGGTCTAAAAGGTCAGGAACATGTTGCACTTAGAAGTGCTTTGGAACACTAATATATCTCTGGAGAAGTCAGTTGCTTCAAGGATACACATAATGATGTCACATCTCCTTAAGAAGAGGAAAGTCTCTGCTCTGAAGGAACAGAATATCAGCTTTTCCATGAGCTGTCTGTTTCTGCTACTATTCAGAAGTGTACTTGCCACATTTTTGAGAAATGCTTTAAAACAAACACCACGGGCTACATTTGAACAAGTATTCTGTCATTTAGGATTGTTTCAGAAAATTTACAGGCAAGACTCTTCCCTCTGTTATCAGCCAATGGAAGATTTCCCCTGAAGAATCCCACTGCAGCTGTAGTATGTCCAAAGTGGGCACACAGCAGATTTGATCAGAACAGTACCAGGGACAAAGGTAGCTGACATGAAAATGAGAACATTTCTGAGCCTTTGAGGCTGCCTAGCTGTAGAAGTGTTAATACTGATACCAGAATTGAAGTCATCTCTGGAATCCCATCCACCTCCTCTGGATTCTCGGGAACCTCCTCCCATTCCTAGGAAAAAAGCCACAATTGGGTTCAGATCTGGAGCTGTGGGAAAGACTGATCAAGGGGACACCAAACCAAAGTTTCAGTCCTTCAATATCCAAAGTCATGCTGCTGGAAGAGCTTTTTGTTTGGGTACTACCAAGTCCCGTTGCACAGGAACAAAAGGTGAGTTTAAGTTAACTGAGAATAAGTGCTCAGAAAAGTCTCTAATACACATTCAATGGAGAAGTTTAGCAAGTTTGGTTCAGTTAAGCTTCAGCTGCAGCAAAGCCCATTTTTACACTGGAACAGGAGACAGAGTCCAAAATAAGTGTTTGTCCATTTGTGCTCACTTAGCTCACTCACTTTTCTTACATCATGATAAAATAGTAGCAGATCAGACTGTTGGGCTTATGATTGTCCTCTGCAAAACACTGTACATTCCTCAGGGTATTGGTCCCACTTCCTGGGCTAGGAGTCACAACAAATTCAGCTTTTGAACACAAAGCACATTTATATTCCAGACACTTCAGGAGCAGCAGCAGCTAGGTTAGACACAAAATTTTCCCCATCCTATATAATCTTCATGTTCAATTCCATGCCTTGCCTTCCCATTAGTTAGCACCAGAATAACCACAACTGCTACATGGAAGAGATTGAAGAAAATGGGAGTCACCTCTGTCATCAGGCCCGCAGCCTTTTCTGAAGCCAAAGCCACCTTTATCCTGTTTCCTGCCTTCTGCTATGTCCACTCGCAGTGATCGGTCACCCAAAAGCTGTTAAAGAGAGGGGAGAATCCTTCAGAATGTATCCTATGGGCTGCCAAAGAGTTTGAGACTTGTGCTTATCATTTATTTCACAGATTCACTGAAGGATACTTACTGCACCATCGTATGTAAGAGCTTCCTTGAGTGACTCCACCTCATCGAACTCTACGTAACAAAACCCTGCAAGAAGAACCTCACAAGTTAATGGCAGCACTTTCAAAGCCCCCTGTAAGAAGCTCCTTCTCCTGCTAAGAGTCTCCCTCCTCTTTCTAACATGAGCTATGATATGGTAAGTGCAAGATGGACCCAGCTTGGGAATGAAACACCATTAGCAGTGACTGCATTCTGATTTTGTGCATCATATGATATAGTGAATTTATTCCAAGACTCCCTGTTATCTGATTTAACCCTCTTTCCCCCTTCCACTAAAAGTAACTTGCAAATACACCCCCTGTCCTCTGGCCAATTCCAATGGAAATTGGTTTTGCATCCTCTAAAACAACTGTCTGATTGAGTTACTTGTTTTTTCTCTACTATAAAAAAAGACAGAGCTGAAACAAGGGGAGTTTTCTGAACTGAAGCAAGATTCTGCAAATACTGAACACTTAAGGTCCTGCATCTTCAGCAGGTCAGACTTTGTTTTAGCTCATACAAGAAAAAGTTTGAGAAAGTCACTTTATGGCAGGGCAAATATTGACTCTTGTCACTCAGGTTAGTCTGTATCTCCAGATGATGGAAGTAACAGTGACTCTCACTCCAATAAGTTGTTTACTTGTTTGTGAATGAGAAACCTGCATAAGTCAACACAGAACAAACACAGGCCAACAAGCTGACTGTGCTTTTGAGCAGCCAAACTCCCCATTCCAGTGACTTTAGAAGTGCCTCATTCCCCTACCAGCCAGCTACAACCAAACCAGCTCTGCAGACTCACCTTTAAATTTGTCTGTCTCCTTGTCTCTGACTAGTCGTACACTCCTCACACTGAGATCCTTGAAGATGGCATCTATGTCTCCTTGGACAGTGTTGAAGGGGAGGTTCCCCACATAGGCTGTGAAGGGGGGTTCTGTTGGCAGCTCTTTCTGTTTGCGGGAACCAAGGCCACCCCCACGAGACCTGTGGAGAAGGGAAGCACAGTGCCTCTGGAACCTGACCCCAGCACAGCAGTGCAGCCTGCAGGGCTCCTCGGCTGCTCTTCTGACATTTTTGGAAGTGGATTTTTCCACAGCTTTGGGTAGTTTTTCTGTCTCTTTGCTTGTACCTGTCTCCTTCACGACCTGCCAATTCCTTCCTAGTAGGACCTCATACTTCAGTGGGAAAACAAATGACCAATACATTTGAATATATTAGAGGTGAACTCAGAAGCTCATTCATCCATTTGCTACCTTCTCATCCTACAATTCACTAAGAAAAGCAATGCAAGGTTATCTCTACTATCCCCTACCCAAAAAAAAAAAAAATCTTAAAATCTGGTCTAGGATGCATTTAATTTATAGCAGTGAATAAACACTTGCACAGCACAGACTTGCCAGGTTGTCCTGAAATGAAGCTGGATCCAATGCTTTCAGCTAAACACTCTTATTTAGCTAACATCAGGCTAAATGCTGCTGAAGTAAGAGTGGATGCTAACAGAAATGTCTCCTCTGAAGTTATTGTCTGAACTGTCAGATAGCTGGGCTGGAATGCTTTGAATTGAGCATGTAATGGAATTACAGATTGAGGTAATGAGGTTGTCTTCTCCCATCTTTTCCCTCTGTCTCACTTAAGGCTGTTGACATTGCTGGCTGAAAAACTACACTGTGACACCAAAGTTCTTGACTGTATCAAGGTACCACCCCTGTGTGTTGGCATTTCCTGTAGAGCCTCATCCTCTGAAGCCAAGGATGATGGCCTCCAGAGAGCAGGATCTGCACTGTGGGCACAGGGCACCCTGCAGTGATAGCTCCTGCCCCTCCAGTCCCCAGGATGCCCCTGGCAGCGTTTCCAACAGCATCTGTCCCACCCAAGCAATCTCTGACTCTCCACAAGTTGTCCACTGCCTGCTCTGCCCATGTCTGCCCAGCACCTCACCACTGCTGGGCCCTGCTCACATCTGCTCACTCTCCCAGAGGCCCGCTGCAGATTTAAAAGCAGGGTGGGACACAAGCTGTACCAAACCAGGAGCTGACAGTGTGACAGGGGCTAATTAGGTTTCTGCAGAGTCCTACCTAAAACAGGGAAGGTCAAATCATTTTATTGTTGCTTTTATTCTGGCTGGCTGCATGCAGCCAGAAAATCCACTGGGCAAGCACTGCACTTGCCTTTTTTTTCCCTTATTCTAGAATAAATATTTTACTACCAATGAATCAGATAATGCAGAAATCTTGAATAAGATTCCTTAATTCTTCCTAGGTAAGCCTGTCATTTGTGGCTTTTATGGTAGCACTCATTTTTCACCCATGCTATCAGCATGCTGCTAAATATACTGGAATCACAACCTACATATCTGTAATTAGTGTCCACCCAGGTTCAGATTTTAGCATTTTTGACAATATTCCCCATATGCCGCTATCAGCATGCTGCTAAATATACTGGCATCACAACCTACATATCTGTAATTGGTGTCCACCCAGGTTCATATTTTAGCATTTTTGACAATATTCCTCATATGCTTTTGTCTCATTAACAAGTCAGAGCTGAAGACATACTGGAGAACTGAAGCTGTTATAGTTGGGTGCTGTGTATGTTTAGCAGAACTAACTTCAGTCACAACTTAAGTTTTAAGGAAAAACTCCAGGAAAACAGAGTTGCTCTTCTAAAGAATTTTATAGGATGCAGAATCAGTTCCTTGCCCTTGTCCTTAATTCTCACCTATGGCCTTACAAACAACTATTAAAATACATTTTAATTTGCAGTCTAAAATGTTAACTTTGTGTGTTCTATAGGAACATCAGAATTGCTCTGGCTGAGTTTAAAAGCAGCATTCCTTCCTCCTCCACGTTCTCACCACGTTCCCTGGACTGCCAGCAGTCTGGTTCAGGAGGATTACCCACCAAAAAACTCACCCTGAAGTTGCATTCTCAGCCAGATCAACAAGGTGATCTGGACAGCTGCAAAGAGCCCTCGTGCCAAGGTGGGAAGGGGAATGAAAACAAGGACTCCAGCTGCAGCTCCCAGCAGCAGCCTCCACTCTGACCAGGCTGTGCTGCTGCTGAAACCACACCCACAAGTCAGCAATCCCCCAAAGAGCTTTTGCTACAGACAAACCTTCTTTCTACCACAGCTCATCAGAACTTCCCTGTATGTGTGTGTGTGTGGATCCATGCCCTGTTGTGCAATCCCCACTGATATTTAGATTATGAAGAATTCTTTGAGTTTGTTCCATTTAGGCTTCAGTTATCAACTGTGTAACTTGGTATTTGGTATTTCAGTCACTGTTTGAAGAAGAGGAATGCTCAGTCACTAGGCTCTAACCTAAGCTGCCTATAGAATTCAGGTATAGCAACACAAAAAGAAACTGT